CTTTACCCGTTTCACGTAAATCTAACGATTTGCGGCACTGTTGTGACTCTTTGGTCATAGTTACAGGAAGCGGAATTTCTTGTTTTTTTTTTCTAGGAACAGGCCAAAATCAATGCGCGCGCGGACGTCATCCATAAAATTTACTTGGTGTGGCCTAAAGAAGAAATTTTGACAAGGGGGGAGGAGGATTTCAAACCCCTCAAAACACAGAATGGCTTAGCAATAACTGGCATAACATACAACTTCTGACTGGCCATGAATGTTGTAGAAATGATGACGTACCTTCAACCTCCCCTCATCACTCTCATGGGTCAGTTTTCTCAGGTCACCACCTCCAGTCTGCAGTGAGTATAAGGCCACACCAATTTAATTTCTTGGTTAACGGATTTTTCTTGAAAAATAATGGAGCGGGTGGGCGAAAAAAAAATAAAAACAGGCCTAGGCATCCTATTATGGCCCAAAATGGTACGATAGGAGCCATGAAGTCAACACACCAGACTGGCACAAAATTTAAACAATGAATTTTGAACTTTTAATGATATCATTGCATTGAAAGATGGAATAACTCTTATATAACTAGGATGAAAAGGACTGTTTTCAGCTGTTCAGGGCAAAATATGAGCATTTTGCAGTTGATTCTGAATTTTTATTTTTATTTGCAAACCGAAACAAAATGAAGCGGGCGAATCCGTTAACCAAGAAATTAAATTGGTGTGGCCTAAGGACAACAAAACAAAATGAACTCCACATTTATTATGTTTACCAAAGGAAAACGTATTGTTTTTGCTATGTTTCTAATTTTCCTCCAGTGACCTCTGGCCTGACTGAACCATGGTAACTGGTGTTGGGTTACAGTATGTTGCAATTTTATACTGTAGGAGGATTTTATACAATAGGCCAAGGTAAACGTTATGCATTTATTTGATCTTCGCAAATGTTACTTTTTTAGTTTAACATAATTGTTATGTCTATGGAAAATATGAAAGAATAGCCTTCCCTGGTCTTGTTAAGATGATCATACTGAATGTTTGTACAGGGTTACATTATGTTGCAATTTTATACTGTAGGAGGATTTTATACAATAGGCCAAGGTAAACGTTATGTATTTGATCTTCGCAAATGTTACTTTTCTAGTTTAACATAATTGTTATGTCTATGGAAAATATGAGAGAATAGCCTTCCCTGGTCTTGTTAAGCCATCATACTGAATGTTTTTACAGGGTTACATTTTGTTGCAATTTTATAGTAGGAGGATTTTATACAATATGCCATTGAAGGTAAACGTTATGCATTTGATCTTCGCAAATGTTACTTTTCTATAGTTTAACATAATAATAATTGTTATGTCTATGGAAAATATGAGAGAATAGCCTTCCCTGGTCTAGTTAAGCCATCATACTGAACGTTTGTACACTTTTTACTTCCTACCTCGGAATGAAGTTTGATCTGAAAAACATGGCTTCCGCCAGTATTATTGTTCAGCGGACAAGGTTGAACAATCTCCGTGTATCAGCTAAGGCCACAGCAAGTAATTTTTATGGATGACATCCGCGGGCGCATTGATTTTCGCCTGATTTGGGAAAAAAAAAACAAGAAATTTGTTGCCCTTTGACGGTGGTCAACATTCCAAAAATGGACAAAATGGCATGCCTTGCCATGCTGGAAAGTAACATGGCAGATAAACATGAAGAGAGGAGACAAGACAAGGCTCTGATTTATTGTTTTGACTTTTACTTTGATGCGGTGATGTTTTTTATTCCTTTTATACGCTCCCACGGAATCAAAACCATTTGTACAATGATTGAAAACTTTCCTAAAGTTGTTTTAGTGACAAATGGATGTTGTGATAGTTGGCAGTAAAGTTAGCACCATATAGGTATCATTTCTTGTTTAATAGGGTTTATGATGTCAAAATTTCAGAATATAGGAATCTTGTTTTTTTGGACCCGCCTTGTTTTTTTTCGCCCTCTCGCATTAGATTTTGGAGTCTGCGGAGGATGTTATCCATAAAATTTACTTACTTGACCTAATGTAGGACTTACCTCTACCTGACTCAAATTGTTCTCGGCCATCATCAGGGCAGACATCGTGTCGTAGGGGTTTTCTTCGGTAATTCGAAGTGCACTCGCTCTCAACAGAACACCTACAGAGGTCATCAAATAAATCCACAAATACTTGAAATAGCAAGTGACTTTCTGGATTCCACTGGCGATAAGACGTCTACATACGCTAAAACTGTCGACAAGATCTCAGAAATACCAAGAAAGACTTAACTTTCTTCCTGTAAGTGTAAAATGTCCTCACAAGCGATAATGACCTTGAGAATCTTACGTGACCTTGCGGTAACCAGATTGTTTAGAACCCTACGAACTTTTTGTGCTTCATTTCGAAAGATATTTTGACATTTGTGCGGTCTATCAGCCTTAAAAAGTGGCACTCGCACGTAACATGTTACTGAGATTTGCGACTTTTCTAGGATTTTTCTCGGTATTTTTCACCTCAAACAGGAGAGAGAAAGCTTCCCACCTTGTCCGTGAGCACGAAACTTGTCGAATGTGTAGAATTCGAACCTGCGTCCATGGCAACACGAGTAAACATGGTGCACGGCGTTCGAACGCGTGGGAGGAATGAACCTGTGATTTGCGTTCTGAAAATGGAAACATCCGTCAAAAATCGTGTCGTACTGTAGACGTTTATGAAAATATGATTCCTTTTGAGGTAGATTTTTCAATATCAATAGGATTTCATCATTAAAATGGATCTTTAGAATACGATTGAGCGTTCATTTTACATTTAGTTGTGACGTGTCGTGTATCATCATTCCTGCCAACAGTAGCAATCAGGTCGC